CTTGGAGGGAAGAGCAGGAAACTTGTCAGCTTGGTGGGATGGCACTCCAGTTACCTTGGCTTCAACGCCAGACCCACAAAGTGGATCAGCGGAGCCGGTCACAAAAGGCGATTCCAAAAGCTGAGGAGACTCCGAGGTCTTCACCACGTTGCTAGGCAACGATGGTTCACAGCAGGGACTGGGAGTATCTCTATTCATAGACATTGCAACGTTTTCTTTGCTGGTCGTAGGAAGAAAGATGTGGGTAAAAGGGCAAAATAATTCTACTTGTACAATTCCTATTTATAGTCTACAGACACAGAAGCGCGCTCGGCAGACCCTCGGTTGATTTGCAGCTAACCAGTAGATCGCATTGCTTTTCCGGTTGGTTAATGTATTTTCCTTAGGTTAGCCTCGCGAGCTCTAGTGGCTTACCCTCGGTATGGGTGCAAAAAACGGGGGTCGCAAAAAACGGTTGTGTCAAACTGCAATTTTGTATCGCAAAACATCCTTACTGCAATACATTATTCAGTTTGGCTGCAAAGTTTCTGAACATGATCGATCAGAATACAGGGCCTCATATCCAGTTGATATTATTGGGAACGATAGGATCTTGATATAAGATTCTCGCAAAAGATTTATTATGATCTCAAAGGCTGAAACTTTTCAGTGCCAGCTCAATTCAAGGTAACAAAACAATACAGCCTGTAATTGAACATTGATATTGTCTGATTTCAGATTACTAGTAAGTGGTAGAATCGGATTAGTGTGTGTGTGTAAGACCTACTAAATTGTTTAAAAAAATAGAAACTGAAATGTTTTCTATTTACAAACCTCTTTTTCTGCCTTTTTGATTCAGCGCTGCAACACCAAGGTGCTCAGTGAGCTTGGAAGTTGGAAAATGTATTTATTTAGATAGCAATATTCAGGAACCAATTACTAATTGGCGTCAGTTCTAGGAAACGTTTTAGATTGCAACAGTGGTAATGAAATTACAATCGTGTGAACGAGCGCAATTGCTTGACTAAACAGATAGCTTAGGCTTGTGATTCCTCTAATTGGAATACTATAATGTTTCCCCGTATATGGCAAATCAGTTTTTTAGTAGTTTGCTTTTGCCTTTTTAAATAGGAAAAAGACAAAATTCATGTCTATGCTGCATGTTCCTGCATGTATTTCTCCATGAAGACAGAAGTGCACCACATGATGCCGACTATGCTTTACGACAACTTCAACTTTATTAAGCTTAGAAGCTGAAGCTACTTGTACATCAAAGAATTCAAGAAACTAATATCTATTTCGATCCTTGGTACTAAACTGTTGTGTTATCCAAGGTAAGACTCTCTTTATTTTACCAGTATAATTATTTAGATAAATGCTAGTTACTGGGGTATTCTTGATTCTCTATCATTCATGTCTATTATTCTATTATCTCATCTATTGAAATTAGTCAGTCAAAGGTATACCCCAATTGCTTCCAGTATGTAATTTTTCTACTGCTCACCTTCGTGCTATGCTAGCCTAACCAAACCTTAAAAATTTGCACACTGTCCCTTTCGTGAGTTAGACTTGTATTTCAGGCTAACTTTAGAATTTAATGAACTCAAAAACTCCAGGAGAATAGTTTAGACAATTTTGACAGTTGTATATCTTCATCAGGTTAATTCGTTCTTCAATACTATCGATCTACGAGCGAACTATTTCGATAGACAAAAAGCTAGCTCGAGATTGAAATAAATTACTCCTAAAATGAAGAGAATATTATTCTAGTGGCAATGATCGTTAGTAATTCTTAGTAATTGGAATCAATTTGGGCAGGCTAAGTCAAGCCAGGGACTAGGTAGTGCAACAAATAGTAGATAATTCATCAGCATGCTTCTGAATCTTATTTGTTACTGTGCTCAATGCTTGTAACTACAGACAGTGTAGAAAATGTTTAATGGAATAATATATCAGGGAGAATCGAAGAAAATATAAAATTGTACCTATCTGGTAACATCTAGCAATGCACCTTCAGCCAGCGAAAATGAGCTTAAAATTGACCAACATAGGTTGGTGGTGCGTACTTCAACCATCTAGTACTATTGGTTCCATTGGTACCGTTGGTTCCATTGGTTCCATTGGTTCCATTGGTAATATTTGGAAAGATATGGGAGTGGTTGCTCTTCCATGGGTAGCCCACGCCATCGACATCCCTCTTATTGTAATGATCATAGTGAGTCCTATTGTGGGTATGGTTGTGAGTACGGTTAAAGGTACCGTTGTGAGTAAAGTTCGAGCCATTATAGTCCCATGGGTGACGGTCTTTCCAATCAGAAACAGCTTCTTGTTCATCTTGGGCCACAATGGGATCTTCAGCACGCCTTTCAGCATCGACAATCAAGGCCTCAGCAGCTGGCCTTGGAAGAGGAGAAGCAAAAATAGCACAAGCAAAAGTAGCAGCAAGGAGAGTAGAGGAGAATTTCATTTCAGTAGGGTTGTGTTTCTAAGAAGTATACTGACCAAAATTCTTGAAAAATCAGTCCGTATTTATAATGATTTGAATAACAGGGGTTGAATTATGTAGCAGCTGTGGTTGATCGTGGCATGCAAGGCGCTTAGCGATGTAATCGATAAACATGCAGGGACATATACTCTAAAAGAAACTGAAATGAGGTGCAGCCTTCCGTGCAAGTCTTGACGAGCGTGAAACGGCGATGCTCAAGGGTTGTGGGTTTGCCCTATCCTCCTACAACTCCATTGGGGCCCTTCATACCGACTGGGTACACCTGGCCTTGCAGCATTTTTTTGTGAAAAAAACGGTCTAGATTCTGACAGAAATTTGCAATCTAGATCAAGCCACATGAATATCCGCCATATTCCAAATAGATAATATTGGTCAAATTATTCCACACCATGTGGAAGGTGAGCTGCAGAAACTTCTAAATGGATTAAAAGTAATAAAAATATAACTAAATCATTCTTGCTGGAGCTGCCAACTTGACAACGCTGTCGTTTGAATAAGTTTTCAAGCGAAATTATCCGTCAAATCTTAATTCATGATCAAGTCTTGTTGCGCAATGGTCATACTGACACCCATATTTGCTTGTGGCCCGCTGATGACACGCCATAAGCCACGAAAACGCCGAAAGCTTAAATTTGTAACAATAGAACCCGATTTGTCATAATTGAGCAAATGATGATCTTAAGGTACGTAGAAGGCAAGCCCGTTGGCCCAGATCTGATAAAACAAGGCGCATATACGCTGGAGTTAATATGTGACAGCCACCATAGATGGCAAATCAAGCAAGTCGGCATTCAAGGCTCATACAGGAGATAAGCCTGGTTTGCTCTCCGTGGAGTCCACACATCCTCTGGTAGCACTTGCTGCTGTGGTGGAGGTTGATTACGAATTCTGCTCTGGTTCCAAACAGATATTAGTTTTGAGCATCGGCCAGCAAGGGATTTAGGATTTGATTAACCGCGAGGTGGGCGGTGCAGAGTCCTGCCTCCCACTTTTTCGTCAATCACTTGACACATTCCTGCGAAGACGTTAGATACTCTGGTATCGGTTGTTTCGCAGTTCAAGCTCGAACAATCAATGTCAAACAAACCACAGATCTTAATCAATATTGGCTAGTTTGACGAAACCGAGGATTTACTCCTAGAGCCTAATTCATGGAAGTATCCTCGGTACCACGACCACGGGGGTGCACTTCTTCGGTACCGAGTGGCTTGAGCGGGTATCCTTACATACTGCGTCCGAAAATTTCCAGTTGAAAGCCGAACTGAAAGCCCGTTATTGTGCCTTGGTGGCAGGGCTGTGCATATCCTTATTGTAAGATCTAGGCTTTCTAGCCTCTCGGAAAAACTGATAAATAAGGCCTGAAACGACCTTCAGGGATTCCGCCATGTAGGGATAAGTCCCACCACGTATAGTCCTGCCTGGTGATGCTCAGTTGCGCACATACATGCAGGGATCGTACTCAGCGAAGTTGACAAGTTGTCTAGGTAAGTGGAATGAATCCGCCATATAATATGCCATAGATTCATTGCCAAGGATACAATAATTGAACCATCAATTCCGCACTTTTCAACACATTGAGTAGATGGTTTAGTTGGTTTCTTTCAAGAAAAGAACGAGATTTTGGTCCGGTACTGTCCTTCCTGTGCTGGCATGCTCGCGGATCCGCTACCCTCTGCCACGAATGGCATTCTCTGTTGGGCACCCTGATTCGCATTCTGAAATGGGTTTCAAAAATGAGACCGTTTCAACGGGTTATCTGCTGGTACTATCCAGTGCTTATTCCTAGACAACTAACATCCCTTACTATGACGCGTCCCGCGGTATGACCCAGAATGTGACCTTCCTCCTAACGGATGTGGAGCCTTGTCACATGACTGGAGGCGGGAGTTGCAGCCAAAGCAGCATATACCCACGGCTGTGTCACGTGCGATGGCGCCACCGCCTGACGGTTGGGGATTATTGTCCGACACCTGACTGTGGTGGCATTTCTTTTTCTTTGCCCTCGCTTAAGGCCACTGACTAAGACCCGGAGGGCAGCATGCAGGACGGCATCCCAGTTCTCATCGGCACTTTGTAAGCAGACACCACAGTTTTCACTCCGACACCAGATATAAAACTAGCGAGTTTTCAAGCAAATTCTTGTCTGCTAATATACCAAAAGTCCAACCTTTAGTACTTACCTCGGATAGTTCCAACAACTATACCACAAACTTTCACCACTACCTTCACATTCTATCACATTTCACTTCTCGACTCAAGCATGACAGTTGATTCCACTGAGCAATACGGTTTCGGTACCAAGGCCATTCACTCTGGTGCCCCAATCGACCCCCACACCGGTGCCGTCATCGAGCCAATCTCGTTGTCCACCACCTTTGCTCAATCTGAGCCATCCAAGCCTCTTGGTATTTACGAGTACTCTCGTTCCGCCAACCCTAACAGAGACAACTTTGAAATTGCTGTTGCTTCTTTGGAAGGTGCCAAGTACGCATTGGCCTTGTCCTCTGGTTCTGCCACCACCGCATTGGTCATCCAATCCTTGCCAATCAACTCCCACATCATTTCTGGTGGTGACGTCTACGGTGGTACCCACCGTTACTTCACCCAAGTTGGTAACACCCACGGTGTTGAAGCCACCTTTGTCGGTAACTTGGTCCAAGACTTGAAGGCCAACCTTAGAGACAACACCCGTTTGGTGTGGTTAGAAACTCCATCCAACCCAACCTTGTCTGTCACTGACATTGCCAAGGTCACCCAAATCTTGAAGGACCACGAAGCCGAGACTGGTAACAGAGTCTTGTTGGCCGTTGACAACACCTTCTTGTCCCCATACATCTCCAACCCATTGTCCCACGGTGCTGACATCGTTGTCCACTCCGTCACCAAGTACATCAACGGTCACTCCGATGTTGTCATGGGTGTGTTGGCCACCAACGACGACGAATTGCACAACAGATTCAGATTCTTGCAAAACGCCATTGGTTCCATTCCATCTCCATTCGACTCGTGGTTGGCCCACAGAGGTTTGAAGACCTTGCACTTGAGAGTCAGACAAGCCTCGCAAACTGCCCAGAAGATTGCTGAGATTTTGGCTGCTCATCCTTTGGTTTCCAAGGTCAACTACCCAGGCTTGAAGTCTCACCCTAACCATGACGTTGTCGCCAGACAACACAGAGACGGCTTAGGTGGTGGTATGATCTCTTTCAGAATCAATGGTGGTGCCAACGCTGCTTCCGTGTTCACCTCTTCCACCAAGTTGTTCACCTTGGCTGAATCCTTAGGTGGTATTGAGTCCTTGGTCGAAGTCCCAGCCATCATGACCCACGGTGGTATTCCAAAGGCCGAAAGAGAGTCCAACGGTGTGTACGATGACTTGGTTAGAGTTTCTGTTGGTATTGAAGAAACCGACGATTTGATCGCTGACATCAAGCAAGCTTTGGAAAAGGCTGCTGCTTAGAGGTCCTGTATTAATAGCTTATAATTTTAAAAGGAAGTTTAGACCCGTATCTGCCTGTAAAAAGCCCGTAACTCGCAAAATTTTTCCCATTGCACCAAGTCGTCTGGAGCATTTCCATTCATTCGATTCACCATGTTCCCTCTAGGACTTTTCCTGTATGATTCATTGCTGTATTCACCACTTTTACCCTCGACAACAAATCATTTTTGGCAGCCAATTTGGTGGCCTGCATATAGACCATTCGCACCTTAGCATCAATTGTATAAAAGGAAACAAATTGCCAGCTGTCATTGCTTGCTAACCATCGATGAGAATTGGCTTATTAGGATCGACTTTGGCGACTGCCGTTGGAGTACTCTCTCAAATTGTTGATACAGAAAAAGAGCTCATTTGTAACAATCCAAACAACCCTCACGACTGTTACCCGCGCTTGTTTCAACCCACCCACCAGTGGCAAGTGATCAAGGAAGGCCAGGATATACCGCCAGGATTACACGTTAGACTCAACATAGATACCTTAACCAGAGAAGCCAAGATTATGGACCCCTCGGAAGACAATAGCAGCACCAACGATTTGGTTATCTCCTCTCCAGTGCAAGAAGAGGAGCAAGATTTGCAGCAACAAGCAATTGATGCCGCCCATCATGAGAAGACACAACAAAAGATCCAAGAAAAAATCAAGGACTTCCGGAGCAAGGAACGAGCAAAAAGAGTGAATCGTGAAGACTTGAACAACTATGAAGGTGCCGTGAGCGAAGTCGAGAATTTCGATGGCGACTACTCCAGATTAGATCAAGCCTTGGACACGTTGGAAGACTTGAGTCATGATATTGAATTTGGTGTTAAACTCACCTCCACCACATTGTTTGATAATTTCAGACAGATCATTGATGCTTCCAATAGTGAGAAACTACATGATAAGATCTACAGAATCATGGGTTCGTCTCTTCGTAACAACCCTGACGCAGTTACCAACGCATTAAACAATTTAAACAAAGATTACGTGGTTGATTTGTTCTCGAAATTGTCGAACTCTTCTAAATCTGACGTTATTCAAAAGCGTATCCTTGGAATTATTCAAGCTTTGGCGCAAAACAACCACTTCGCCTTAAACTACTTCAACAATGAAAGTGACTCGACAAATAAGGGTATCACCTTTTTGATTCAAGACTTTCCAACTTTGGGCGCCCAATCAAAGCAAAGGTTATTGGGCTTATTTGAAGATCTTCAGTTAGTTGATCTTACTAGAAAAGCAAATGATAGAAGATCTGTGGAAAACTCACAGGACCCAGACTATCAAATTTCCCAGTACTTGCAATCGACTTTGGCCGCAAACAAGGCGACTTCTAACGACCAACTCAAGATCTTTTTCAACCTGTTGAGCGAACTTCACACTAGCAATAAGAAATTGAAGCCTTCCAACGAGTACATGCTCTGGTTGTCGCAGGAAGTTGAGTTAAGAAAAGAAAACAAGAAGAGACAAGACTATTCTGAAGAAGATAAGCAATTCGACGAACAAATGCTCAAGGCCAGGCACCAAGTCTTTGGAAATCCTAATGCCTTGAGAAAAGCCATGAATGACGAACTTTAGGTTGACGAACAATACAGACTTACAAATGAAACTCGTAGACCTAGTAATTGATGTTACGCGTGATTTATATTAAGGTTTTGATATGAAGTGCAGTGGACTAATCTAATCGAACAAACCCATACCCATGTCGTCATCGGATTCTTCTTCTTCTTCAGCGGCGGCTTCTTCAGCTGGAGCGTCACCAGAAGAAGCAGCAGCGGCACCGGAAGAGGAAGCAGCAGCACCGGTTGGGACGGAAGCCAACTTGGTGTTACCTTCAGCGATCAATTCTTCGACGTCCTTACCTTCGACTTCAGCCAACAATTGGGTGATCTTTTCTTCTTCGACTTCAATGGAGACGGATTCCAAGACGGTCTTGATGTCGGCGGCAGATGGGGAGGTGTTACCGGCGTTAACCAATAATAAGTAGGCAGCTAAGTATTTCACTATAATGTTAGTATTCCGAGATTGGTGCAAAAAAGCCGGGAGAATGACGGGATATCGATGTGGATGCCTGGTATGATGGTTGTTTCGCTTGACGTTCATAGTCTCATTACTCTGAGCTTATTGTGCCTCTCAATACAGACACAAACGATGTAATTTGGAGGTAACGTAGTTGGTCATCTGCAACATGCTCTGAACAGTCAGCATAGTCGTATTTCATTGCAATCTGGAGTCTCCGATATATGGTCACAATCTTATGGCTTTGTCTGTCCGTTTCACATACTATTTGATGTCTATGTGTAGTAAGAATAACTATGCACTAAAAATGACTTTTCACTTATGGTCTTGTTGAAAATTTTGATGCACGGTTGCCGCATTGGGAAATATTCTTTGCGCCGCATGTTTGAGGGCTAGAGCCCTAAGGTTGGAGTAAGGGATGGTCATGTGATTATAGTCACGTGCAGTAGTTTGCCATGGACCCTAGGCTAGCGACTGGGGAAGTCAGGCCCCGGCTTATGGGTGTTCTGTATCATGTCTCGTAGTAGTTCTTCCATGGCCCACTGTAATTGCAGATAGTGTTCGACAGACGCAACTGTACCCACAAGTGCACAGTACCATCACTCCAACGCATTATCAATCACGAATGCTGTCCTGTTCCCTTCACAGATACAAGACCGTACCCCAATACTTTTTATCTCTTCCCGTACGCCTTGAAAACCTTCTCTATACCACTCTGGCAATTATGGAGTCGCAAAAAGCCCAATTGATCAGCGGTGAAAAGCAGATGGATCCTCACATCAGACAAAGATTTGGAGCTTTTTAGCTCAAAAAAATATCATAGCAGCCTTCTCCGCTAGTAGTAGCCTATCCATCCAATCATACATGTTCTTTGGTTGTTCTTCAGGTACTTCTCTTGACCTTATTGCTCACTTTTTGCAACTTCTATAGTGGCGGAGATATCGCAGTGTTATATGCAGTATCTCACTTAATCATCAACTATGGCGTTATCAGTAATATCTACCAACACTCAGCTGTGGTATCCACGACAATAGTAACAGTTGGGTGAACCAGGATGTCCTACAAGCCGTTTCCAGAGTTGACCAAAGCCGATGAGAGCAAAGTCTCCGAGCTTTTGAGCCAATGGTCGTTGGCCAATGGATTGGTGATGTACCCTCCAAACTTCAAGACATACAGTGCTGCCATCGCTCCAACTACGTTGTTCCCTACTCCATTCCCAAGATCCGCGTTCCAAAATGCCGTCGATGTTCAACAAAGCTTCAATGAGTTATATACAAACTTGGTTGCCAACCACAAGGAATGGTTGATCGAGGTGATTACTCAGCTTTCCCAGCATGATGTTGGATTCACCGGGAAGTTATTTGAGGCCTACAACAAGGCGGTGGAGGAAAGCCCTAACAAGGAATTGGTCCAGCCATTGTCGTTGGGTGTTTTCAGAAATGATTTTATGATTGATAATCAAGAAGCATCATCCACCCCAGGAATCAAACAAATCGAATTCAACACTGTAAGTGTGTCATTTGGGGCACTTTCTACAAAAGTTGGTCAATTACACAATTATCTTAACAAATTCGGAGTCTATGGTAAAAACTACTACAGTAATGATGAACTTCCTATTTCAACCTCGATAGACGAATTGGCTGACAGCTTAGCTGAAGCTGATTCACATTACAAAAAGCAACAAAGTGTGGACGACTCAATCATATTATTCATTGTTCAGCCAAATGAAAGAAACTGTTTCGACCAAAGGCACATTGAATACTCCTTGATAAACAATCATAGTATCAAGTCCGTGAGATTGACACTTGAGGAAATAGAATCTCAAGTGGAAGTTAGAAACTCTGACCAAAAATTGTTTATCAAGGCCACATCTGAAGAAGTTTCAGTGGTTTATTTTAGATCTGGATACGGTCCATCCGATTATGACTTGAACCCGGAATTGACCTGGAACGCTAGAGTCATCCTTGAGAAGTCCGCGGCCATTAAATGTCCATCCTTGTTAACTCAGTTATCGGGTTCTAAAAAAATACAACAAATCTTAACCAAGAAGGAAATTGTCAAGAAGATTTTACCTAGCATAACAGAAGAAGATTTATCCAAGCTTTTGTCTACTTTCGTTGCTATATATCCATTAGATGATACTGAAGAGGGAAAACTAGCTAAAAAGTTGGCATTTGAACACCCAGAGAGGTTTGTCTTAAAACCACAAAGAGAAGGAGGGGGAAATAACATTTATAAAGCTAACATTCCAGGCTTTTTGAAAAGCATCGATGAGAAAGAATGGGATGCTTACATTCTTATGGAATTGATCAATCCACCCACTCACAAAAACAAACTCATCAGAAACGATGAGATCTATAATGAAGATATAGTTTCAGAACTTGGAATTTTTGGAACAATTCTTTTTGATGAGCAAAAGGGAGGCATTATTTCGAACAAAAACGCTGGCTTTCTTCTTAGATCCAAATTCAGCTCAAGTGATGAAGGAGGTGTGGCAGCAGGTTTTGGATGTGTTGACAATGTTTACTTATATTGAGCTACCTACATTGTCAGGCACGTGGTGAGCTATGGTTGTTTCAACAATTATGTTTTCAGTTCCGCTTGGAGGTAAGATTTTCTTTTTCAATCGTTCATGCTCTATATCAATCACCCAAAGAGTAGCTCCCACATTATTGGTAAACATAAAGAACACATTTATAACCGGTATAGACTCTAATAAAAATGACATAACACCAAACCCTACATATCCCCCTGGATTGTCTCTGTAAGCTTTTTTGATGTCCGAGAGCTCGTAGCCCCGCAAGATGAAATATCTAGCGTGTGATTGTAATCCTTTTGATGGTGCTTGCAAAAACACAGCGGTCCAGCCAATGTAAGGTAAAAGTCCAACAATAAACATGAGTATAGTTTTTAATATCACGTAGCAAAGTACCAAATTACTTGGAATTGCAGTGAAGAGATATCCACACTTGACAAGGTAGGGGACTTTCTTTATATTTTTCAATTTTGCTTGTAATGTTTTATTGTTTGGGAACTCTTTACATAAAACAAGATCAAAAGTAATTTGCTGTATATATGGCATTAGTAAAAAGGAGATGATGAATTGAGAAATAAAACCTGACATGCTCAATACACCTAACCAGGCCCCAAATATTCCAAGAGGACCCAGAGTAATTATACTTAAGAAAGAATACCATGGATAAACGAGTACAAATGTGATCAAGTACACAATCAAAGCAATCAATACTTGTGGTACAAACAATAGTAGATAGTACCGCCAGAGTTCGGGTGTTTGATAAAAGTAAACCATGCCCTAAATGTTAGACAACCGCTGAGCATTGAAGGGGATTACATACTCGAAAAGGATAAATATAAGTACATGAGTTCAATATTTGATATGGTAACAAGATGGTCCTCTCAATGGAGAGAGTTGTTTCAGTTAGCATCGTTAATAAGAAGTTAAGTTGGTTCATCTTTTCAGAAAGAGAAGTAGTTGCAAGTATTGTGTTGCAAAATTTAAAGTCAAAGAAATTCCCTAAAGTGTAATTTGGCCAATATTAATTTCAAGCCCAATGTGCTACTTGTAAATTTACAAATAAAAGTCACTTTAATCGCAAGTAATCGATCTAATCACTTGTGCAATAGAAATACAACTGTGCAAGTAATTAATTTTTTTACAAAATTTTGAACAAAATGAAAGCAGTTGATTTTGGATTGAAAAGAAAAGAATGCATATTATTAGATAATAAGCTTGTGGATTATTTCGATTTGCAGTTGTGTATTATACCGATTCTTCATTTGCAAAAGAAGCATCAAAAACCAGCTATTGGACTACATACTTTGATTCAAATAGGAACAATTTAATTTTCAATCTTGACTGTCCAATTTCTTTTTTTTTTTAACTATGCAATCTGTTTCTCGACTTTCAACAGCTTTCTAACGGGAATATAGTATTAAGCATTAGCACAGCTTATATAAGCCGAACTATGATAGATAACTGTTCCTTCTTTTTTTTTTTTGCTAATGGGAAGTATATTATAATCTACTGACTATATACCTATTGCAAAGGATAACACACCATTATGGTCAACCGTTATAATTTAATTAATTATTGAATTCAATTTTGTTTTTTGATGATTTTTTGCAACTTCCTTCTTTTTTTTTTTGCTAATGGGAAGTATAT